ATTGTAAATCAAGGCAGAGGCCAACAGTGTTTAGATAGAGAACTGCAATTTGTGTGCAGAAATCTGGAGGGAAGAGATGGTTATGGACCCTTTAAGAACTTGAAGACTTCGTGGTGGCTCAAGTTAGGAAAAAAGGTACAAAAAGAAACTTCAGTGAGAAATGTGGCTCGAGAACTAAACGGGTGCCAGCACATCCGGAGTTCTGCATGTGGATTCTGGCAGTGAGACCTTGAAAAATCATGTAACCTCTCAAACTCAGTTTTCTTATTGGTGAAAGGATATAATAAAACCTCCCTTTCCCGTTGCAGTAAAGTTGAAGTGCATTAAAACTCCGAAAATGGTTTCTGATGCATCATAATCTTAAAAATCATTATAAGTAATTTAAATGCTCTTTATCTGGTGGAAAGTTTATCATTGGGCCATTGAATAAAAAGGATAAGTTGACCAAGGATATTGTTATTTACTAATTTTTTTGACTGGCCAATATTTTAGAGGCATTGTGAAAATTTAGTGAGCTAATCAATCAGAATATCTTGTTATTCTATTGTCCAGTATTTAGAAAAGCCAGAAGACTGGTCTTAGAAGTTATAAGAGTCTTTATTTGGCTTCATGCAAACAGTATGCTAATTGTATAGAGGTAGCTTTGCAAATGCATATATAAGATGCTTTTCTTTGTGAGTAGTCTAGAGAGATTTTTGGAGGCTATAGTTCTAAGACTTTTTTTGGGTTTTCTTCCAGTTTTGTGAATTTCAATAAAATACACATGTATCAGTTCTGTTGATTTGTAACTTAGAAGCTGCATTTAGCTATTACAAAATTACACTTTTTAAAAATACTGGAAAATAAAAAGTTGAGTTCACACCATTCAAGCTAACTGCTGTTAATATTTTAGAGAATTTTCTTATAATTTTTCTCTATTTGCATATAATCATCAAACCCACAGAAGGGTTTATTTTAAATGATAAAAGTACAACACCTTTAAGATTTAAAGTAAGAGGTAAAAGTTGAAGACTTACCTCCCCACTCTTTTTCCACTTCTCAGAGGTATTTACTATTAATAGCTGCTTTTATTCATTTTTTTCATCTGATGACTTCCTGTTTGAGTCTTACCCGTAACAATGGGGGGAGGGTGGGGTCAGAGGATCCAACCAATATACTTAATAGATATTACTTTAATTGAACTTTATATCAATCTCATTTGATTGGCGATATGAGTAACATGTTAAGGAAATCTATGACTTCATTGATAGTTTTTGTATTTAATTCATTTTTGTATTTAATTTAATCGGCTGTTTAATCATTAATTGTGTCTGCAATTTGATACTACTCAGTGTCACTACAGCTGCTGCCTTTGGAGCTTGGTACTTTTTATACTTGTTAGCTTTGGCTGACATGGAGTAAGTTTACTGCTTACTTCACATTAATTTACCAGTTATGTCCAGACTGTTTTTTTTTCACTAAAATGTTTAACTGTTACGTTCACTTTGTAAGCACAGATGTGAAATTTCCTGCTACAGGTACCATCTTGTTTTATAACTTAATTACAATATGGCTTTTAGGGGTACGTAACAGTAACATATACATTTAAATCCTCTTATCAGGGTTAGGGCTGTCAGTCCTGTGCAGGTAATATTTGGAGTTGATTAATTGAATGCCTGATTGTAGATTAACAACCAAATGTATCTTTTCTACCTCTTTAATGTGACACAAATAAAAACAAATATATAGCCCTAGCCAGTTTGGCTAGTGGATAGAGTGTCAGCCTGTGGACTGAAGGGTCCCGGGTTTGATTCCCGGACAGGGCACGTGCCTGGAAGGCAGCCAGTGGATGATTCTCTATCCCTCTCCCTTCCTCTCTGAAATCAATAAAAAATATATATAGTTAAATAAACACATATCTAAGACCTTATTTTTGACCAATATGTTATCATTAAGTAGAGTTTCTTCTACTGGCTGATTGTGCCGGGCCAGCACAGCCAAGAGTTCAGTGAGCCTGAGGGGTGGCGGTGAAGGATTAAAGAAGACAGACAAAGAGAATACAGCTGGGGCTCAGTGGATCTCCGGTGCCTGGATGAGGACACAGAAAGACCCAGCCTGCTAGCCAGGCTTTATTTTATAGTGGGATCAAAACAAGTGGTCAACATGTTTAAATTCTTGTTGTGAGTTTCACCTTGTTTTGGCAGCACTTGTTTTGGTAGCACTTGCTGCACCTCCCACATCCTATTAGCTACCTAGGAAGGAACTAGGGAGGGCTATAAGGTTAAGCTTAACACATTGTATGCGGGAAACGTATTTATACGTTTTTCCGTTGACTGTAAGTAGTAGAGCCACCTGTAACTACCCGCAAACAATGTTAATTAAGCTAAGAGGGCTCTGCCCTCCAAGCTGGGACTTGTTTGTGGCCCTGCCACAGGTCAGTCTGAGGCTTAACCCTAGAGCTGCTCCCTACAGCTGATAAATGGATGGGAATACCTGTGTGTGAGATTAATAATGCTGTTTATGAAACATGGCTTACTTCCCATCAGTTTAGCACAGATTTCAACTAGTAAGTTGTAAGAATTTTTAAAACATGCAATACCTGACTACTGAGTCAGGGACACTGACCTCTTTTCCCTTAGATTGTGAAATAAGAAAATGACAATAGCCAACACAACAGTGGCTGTCCTGTGTGAATGACCTGTCTTAAACCATAAAAATATAGGTCATATAATAAAGTTGCGTCGTATCAGTCATGTTGCATAATAATGTTGCATCTGATTGGTTACCAGAAATACTTATATCTAAATACAGACGCCTGATTTTTTAAAATATATTTTTATTGAATCAGAGATGAAGGGAGAAGGAGAGATAGAAATATCAAAAATGAGAGAGAATCATTGATTGGCTGCCTCCTGCATGTCCCCTACTAGGGATTGAGTCCGCAACCCAGGCTGTGCTCTGACCTGGAATTGAACTGTGACCTTCTGGTTCATAGGTCAATGCTCAACCATTGAGCCCCATCGGTTGGGCAGACACCTGATTCTTTTAAAAGTCACTTTGAAGCAAAAAGGTTAGGTTATTACTATTGTTATTATTTTTTTAATCAAAATTATACCTATTTTTTGTTAGAATAGCAAAATATATTTTTGGTGTGCTGTAGAATTTTAGTAATTAGTTTATGTGTGCTATGAGATGCAAAAGGTTGAAAATTGCTGATTTAGCAAGATCTGATCTGATGATCTAAGAACATGTGACCATTCTTTAGGGAGAAATACCTAAGGCACCTTTTTATTTTTTTAAATATATTTTTATTGATTTAGAGAGGAAGGGAGAGGGAGAGAGAGAGAGAAACATCAATGATGAGAGAGAACCATTGATCGGCTGCCTCTTGCACATCTTCTACTGGGGACCGAGCCCACAACCCAGACAGGAGCACTGTCCCAGAATGGAACCGTGACCTCCTGGTTCATAGGTCCAACGTTCAACCACTGAGACACGATGACTGATGATGATGTTAGATCAATAGATGCTATAATGTATTTTTGAGGTAAGGTATAATGATGAATTCTTAACATGATTTTTTTGTTTCCTCTTCTCATTTTTTCTGTCATCTGAAACTTATTTTGTGATAGTACACTTATTTTGTGATAGTACACTTTAAAAAATCATCTTTATTCAGTATAGACATTTGTTAAGAATTTGTGAAATTGACATAATTCTCATTACATTTTACTTTTTTCTCTCTGCAGTAGATTAGGGCCTGGCATTTTATTTTCCTATGAAATCTTAATAAAAAAAACACTATTCTTGCCCTGGCCAGTGTTTCCCAGTGGTTAGAGCATTGGCCTGCACACTGAAGGGTCGTGGATCGATTCCCAGTGAAGGGCATGTACCTGATTGCAGGTTGGATCCCCAGCCTGGTCTGGGCACATGGGGGAGGCAACCAGTCTATGTGTGTCTCTCACATCAATGTTTCTGACTCTCAACCTCTCCCCACCCCCTAAAAATCAATGAAAAAAATATACTTGGGTGAGGATTAACAACAAAAACAAAACAAACCACTATTCTTTTGTTATAGTTGTTTTGCCAGATATAATAATCGGTACAGTTGACTGGGTTTCATTGTGTACTAGAGGTCAGGAAGCCAGTAGTGTACTCCTTATATCAAGCATTATCTGGTGTTCGCACAAGTCCATTGGACTTTTTTGGCTTTGTATAATCTTTACTTACTGATATGATTTATGATATCTACCTATTTATTTTTAAACTTCAGGCAAGTAGGATAAACTGTGTTGATCTTCTAAAATAATTATCTACTAGGACTTGTATGGGTTTGGTGAAATCCTGGCTTATTATATTCCGTCCCAAAGTAATGGATTTTGAAAAACATTGTGCTTAGTATCATCCCCTATTTATGGGAAACCTACTTCATTCTTATTGAATATCAGTAATATTTGTACCATACATTCCCTTTTATGTATTAGACTAAAGGCCCAGTGCACAAATTCATGCACAGGTGGGGTCCCTTGGCCTGGCCGGTGATTGGGGCCTATTGGGGGCTGGCCAGCAAGGGGGAGGGACCACAGGAGGTTGGCCAGCCAGTCATGGGGGCCGGCTGGCTGGGGTGAGGGGCCGCAGGAGGTTGGCCGGCTGGGGGAGGAAGGGGCCTTGAGAGGTTGGCTGGCTGGTCCCCTCCAATCTGGGCTGATTGGGGAGGGGGGCGGCCGGCAGGGGAAGGGGCTGCGGGAGGTTGGCCGGCCAGCCAGTGCCTGTTGGGGAGGAGCCGCAGGAGGTTGGCTGTGGGAGTGCACTAACCACCAGGGGCAGCTCTTGCATTGAGCATCTTCCCCCTGGTGGTCAGTGTGCGTCATAGTGACTGGTTGACCCGTTGTTCAGGTTGTTTGGTTGTAATGGTTGCTTAGGCTTTTATATACTAGTATATGGATACACAGTATTTACATGTTGATTATTTCCTTATTAACACTATATATACATATATATTTTTTTCCCTCTTTTACCAGTTTCTCAAACAATTAGGCCTGCATCCTAAATGGCAATTTGTCGATGTATATGGAATGGATCCTGAACTCCTTAGCATGGTACCAAGACCAGTGTGTGCAGTATTACTTCTCTTCCCTATTACAGAAAAGGTAATTGTTAAGATATAAAGTTTTCAGTAAATGCAAAGTTCTCTTTTATTGTTCTATTAAATATTATGTTTTTCTTTAACAACAAATGACTCCCTTCTTGCATAAAAAGAAGAAATCTAGGGAGCAGGGATACCTTAAATATCTAGTTTTATTGAAGAGATGATATTTAGATTTTGATTTATAGACTGACAATAAAACCCTGAGTTAGTCTTTTAAACTTGTGTAATTTTCTTCTTTTAAAAAATTTAGTGAGATTGCCTCAACTATGGTTTGATGTGACATTCACATTTTGATGTATATACTTTAAGAATTTTTTATTGATTTTTGGACAGAGGAATGGAGAGGGAGAGAGAATCATTGATGTGTCAGAGCGGAACATCCATTGGCTACCTCCTGCATGCCCCCTAGCAGGGATTGAGCCCACAACCCAAGCAGAAGCCCTGACCGGGAATCGAACCAGTAACCCTTTAGTGCACGGGCCATCAACCAGCCAACTGAGCCACACTGGCCAGGGCTTAATGTATATACTTTAGAAATGTTAAGTAATATGATTAGACAAAACACAAGTGCTAATCCTGGAAGAAAAAAATCTGATAAATTAGATTTCATCAAATAAAAAGTCATGTTCATCAAAGGCCACCATTAAAGAATACAAACTGGATACAGAGAGAATGCCATGTCTGTCAGACAAGAGGCAGAGACTGGAGTGATGCTGCCACAAGCCATGGATGGCCAACAATCACCAGAGGCTAAGAGCATGGAGCAGCTTCTCCCTCAGAGTCCCCAAGAAGGAACCAACCCTGCTAAATGACACTGAGATCAGACTTCTGTCCTTCAAAACTATGAGAGAATAAATTTCTGGGGTTTTTTGGTGGTTGTTTTTTTTAAAAAGAATACAGACTGTAAGAGGTGCAAAAAAAGATGCAGTGCGACCAGCTGGGAGACAGCTCCAGGAGTAAGCTAGAATAGATGACATCAATGAAGGTGGAAAAAAGCTGATGGATTCAAGACCTATACTAGTATAGAATTTGGTGATAATTTAATGTGGTAGGTAACAGAAAAGGGAAAAATCACCTTCAAGAAAATAAGAGGTGATTGGAACACACATAATCCCACAATCATTTACACACATAATCCCACAACCATTTACACATACCATCATATTGTGTAAGAAACAGCAGCAGAGATTGCATTTATTGCATACTTACCATTTCAGGCATGAGCTAAAACGTTAGGGGCCATTCTTTCCTTCCAATCGCAAGACAACCCAATAAGGTAGCTATTTTACTATATGATTTTACAGATGGGGTATTTGCAACCCAGATATTATATTGGATATTTTACACACTTGTAACCAGAACAAAATGTTAGCTTCTTAGGCTCTGGCTGGGTGGCTCAGTTGGTTGGAACATTGTCCCGTACACCGAAAGGTTGTGGGTTCTATTCCCGGTCAGGCACATACCTAGGTCCAGAGTTCAATCCCTGGTTGGTGGATGGGCAGGAGGCAACCAATCAATGTTTGTCTGTTTCTCTCTAAGAATTAATAAAAACATATCCTCAGGGAGGTTCAAAAAAAAAAAAAAGTCAGCTTCTTAAAGCTTAGGCTTTTTTAGTTGGTGTGATATAAATGTGAGTCTATATCTGAATTGGAAATTTTCCAAACCATTTATTTTTATGATCTACTTTTTTTTAAAGGAATAAGTAGGATTTGCTCTTTATTTAGTGGGTCGTCAGTATTAAAGAGAGCATGTTATCCTTATCAATAGGCCTTCTTCATGTAAATGGATCATTAGTACTAAAAAGCTTATTGTGTCTATTGCTAGAAAGAACATACACTTCTATAAGTTATTAATAGATACTGGTAAGTACTAGAATAATCTATAAATAACATAGAAATACTTACATAAGTAGCGAATATAGTGGTATCTCTTACTTTTTCATGTCTCTTACAATTTGGTAGGTTCCCCATTTCAGCTCATAAGTGACATATTAAAGTTACCCAAGGATATCTAGTGGATGTTTTAAGAGATACAAAGTGTTTTGGTCTTCTGTGTTCTAATTTAGGAACTGATTATGTTGTTGCAAATGGCTTAAGCGTATTAATAGCAAAAGAACTGTCATGGGTACCTCATTACCCTTTAAATAAAGTCAATTATGGTTTTAAATGTATACTTTATAGTTGAGTTTACCAGCCAAGGAATCATAGTTGGAAAGGCTATAAATTATTTCTTTCTGATATTTTGATTGTTTCTTCACCATGTGTTTTCACTTTGGTCTACCATAATTACATTTTATTTTTTTCTAGACTTGATCTGTATCATTTTATGATTTTTCTTCTAAGCATTAAATCTTGTGAAGTTATCAAATATTTTGCTTTGTTAGCAAGGAACAATAATATTAAACAGCAACAAGAAACTGAAGTGTAGAACCATACAAACATATCAGGATAAGACCTTACTATATTGAACATTTCAGTTTTTATCAACTGAACTTATATGAATGAAATAATGGTTCAGAATTTATTATGAAAACAGAACTACCAGTTTGTACTTCTTAATCTCTTCCCCTTTCTCACCCGGCCCCCTAACCCCTCTCCTCTCTGGCAGCCATCAGTCTGTTCTCTGCATCTTTGAGTCTGTTTCTATTTTGTATGTTTGTTTACTTTTTTTTCCTTTAGATTCTGTATATAAGTGAAATCATATGGTGTTTGTCTTGCTCTTACTGACTTATTTCACTTAGTATAATACCCTCTAGGACCACCCTTACTGTTGCAAATGGTAATAATTTCATTTTTTTATGGCCAAGTAGTATTCCATTGTATATATGTACCACAACATTTTATACAATTGTCTATTGACAGGCCCTTGGGTTGCTTCCATATCTTGGCTATTGTAAATAACACTGCAGTGATGAACACAGGTTAAAAATGAGTGAAGAGAATTAGTGTTTGGATTTCTTCGGATATATACCCACAAGTGGAATCACTGGGTCGTTAGGCAGTAACATTTTTAGTTTGTTGAGAACCCTCCATATTGTTTTTCCTAGTAGCTACACCAGTCTGCATTCCTATCAACAATGCACAAGTGTTCCCTCTTCTCCACGTCCTTGCCAACACTTGTTGTTTGTTGATTTATTGATGGTAGCCATCTGACAAGTGTGAGGTGATAACTTAGTGTGGTTTTAATTTGCATTTCTCTGAAGATTAGTGACTTTGAACATCTTTTCATATGTCTCTTGGCCATCTGTATGTCCTCTTTGAAGAAGTGTCTGTTCAATTCTTTGCTCATTTTTTAATTGGATTGTTGTTATTTGTTTGTTTTATGGTGAGTTGTATGAATTCTTTATAAATATTGGATATCAACTCCTTATGAATACATCATGGAACAAATTAAACTCGTAAGTCAAGGCCCCACTGTATGTTCTTCCATTCATTAGGTTGTCTTCGTGTTATTGATGGATTCCTTTGTGTGCAAAAACTTTTTAGTTTGATGTAGACAGTACAAAAAAAAAACAAAAAAAACTGTACTTTTGAAACTGGCAGTTGACCAGATTTGGCCTGTTGGTTCTAGTTTGCTGACTCCTTACTCTATTGGAATTTGAAAATTATAGACAAAACAATAAAGTCATCTTTCTACTCTCCCTCTTCTGCTTCTCCTCACTCATTTTTAACCTTTTGAAAATAATTTGTCAAAGCTGCGCAGCTAATAATGGCAAAGCAAGGATGTGAACTCTGGCAGTCATATGTAGAGCTCACACTTTTGACATTCATCATTATGCCATATTGGTTTTTACAACCAGTTATTAGAAATAATGGTGAATGTTTGTTCTGAATATTGTATGCTTATAAATATAGTGTGAATTTTGTTATGATAGGACAATTCAACTATATAGAAATATAAAAAGCAGAAAGTAAAAATCCTCTAGGAATCTCTTATCCCAGAGATAACCTCTGTTAAATTTTTTTATATCCTTTCAGATTTTCAATAGATATATAAAATAAATATTTTAAAAATATAAATAAGAATTTTATTAATGTATATTGACCTACAAGAACTCTATAATCATAGATAAATTCCTAAGTAAGAATATGTAAATCTACTTTATTCTTTTAAAAGTAGTATTTTAGTAAGATATCCCATACAGTTAGAATTTTTGAAGTTTTATGTTTAAGTCCTTTTTAGTATATTATTTTCGTATTTTGACTATTGGCTTTTTCTTTAATAGTATGAAGTATTCAGAACAGAAGAGGAGGAAAAAATAAAATCTCAGGGACAAGATGTTAAATCGTCAGTATATTTCATGAAGCAAACAATCAGCAATGCCTGTGGAACAATTGGACTGATCCATGCTATTGCCAACAATAAAGACAAGATGCATTTTGGTAAATAACTTTTCACTACTGCTGTTTTCATCCCTTAAAGCAGTGGTTCTCAACCTTCCTAATGCCGCGACCCTTTAATACAGTTCCTCATGTTGTGGTGACCCCAAACCATAAAATTATTTTCGTTGCTACTTCATAACTGTAATTTTGCTACTGTTATGAATCGTAATGTAAATATCTGATATGCAGGATGTATTTTCATTGTTACAAATTGAACATGATTAAAGCATAGTGATTAATCACAAAAACAATATGTAATTATATATGTGTTTTCCGATGGTCTTAGGCGAACCCTGTGAAAGGGTCGCTACCCACAGGTTGAGAACCGCTGCCTTAAAGTATAAGCTAACTTATTGAGCACTAGGTGGTGCTCTAATTCTTTCTTTCAAAGTACTACATAGAATATTTTCCTCCCTTCTTTCATTTAAAATGGGGATGTATATACTGTTAGAAGAACTAATAATCCTTCTCATTCTTTTATATTGTTGATAAACGGAGGTTTAAGAAACAAACAACTTAAGCCTTATCATTTAGGCCAATATTCTTACATGCCTAATTTACCAGTGAAAGGGTTTTACCTGAAAAATAGGCAGCATGCTTCTAGTATTTTCATATACCAGTCTCTTTGATATATCAAGCCTTTTTAATTTTATCTTCTTTAATATTCTCAGAATCTGGATCAACCTTGAAAAAATTCCTAGAGGAGTCTGTGTCAATGAGCCCTGAAGAACGAGCCAGATACCTGGAGAACTATGACGTCGGTACCTTCTATTTGTCTTGATTTTATATGTGGGCAAAGTTTTATGGGATTGTAGATTCAGTTTGGGGGTTTGTCTTGAAGCTGTCATTTTGAACAATTATGGATTTGGTTGCATCCATTAAAAAGGCATTTTTTTATGTTTCAGGTAACAGTACTGAAATATCCATAAACTACTGCTTCATTTCTATATCCAGAGCTGAATGAGAGAGAAAAAGCAGTTTGTTTTACAAGTTTATAAATATCTTACGATAGACTATTTCTCACCATTCCCTCCCTCCAATAAATATATGCTCTGTATGTCTTTCCTGGGGAATTTGGAGTAAGGCTGAAGACAGTGGAAAAAACAAAGGTTTAAGGGTAGAAGTTAGGCCATACTCTACTTCTTTTATCAGCATAATATTTTTGCATGTGTGAAGACAGGCCACAAAGTCTAGTTTTAAATGATTGTACCATTTCATACAATTTTCTTAGAATGGTATTTAAATTTTATTATTTTTGAAATCTGTTTTTCTTTTGAAGGCATTTTACCTTTTTAAAAAATTTATTGTTCAGTTGTACTTGACATACGATATTATATTAGGCTTTCTACCTGTTGGTAACATTAAGCAAATTGTAAGTTCTTTGAAATTAGAAGCAGTGTGGTGTATATGTACTCAGCTAGAGCAGTGCTTTACGCAGAGTTTGTTCCCAGTAAATTTATTGATTTGATTATTTATTTTTACCATTGTAATATAATTTGACTATTTTAAATTGTTTTTTTCTTTAAAAAACCTGCAGAGCTCATAAAACATCTTCATTTTACATAAAAATGAAATAACACAAAAGTCAATAATATCTCACCAATGAGATGTGACCACCATTGATATTTTTTATAGGGAGTATATATGTATATACACACTTTTTAAAAACGAATATTTGATAACACTGTAATATTGTTTTATAACTTGCTTTTTTCACTTAACTTATCACAAACGTATTACATACCAGTAAGTATATATTTGACATCATCATTTAATGGCTGCATAGCTTTCCATTGTGTAGTATTTTATTTAACCAATAAATTATTGTATTTTTTCCTCTTTTCACTGTTTAAAAAATACAACCAGGTATATCATTGTAGCTAAATCTTTGCAAATATCCATAATGATATATACTTATATACAATTATATGTAAATACATAAACTTATAGAAAAGAATTTGCTGGATCAAACAGTGCATGTTTTTAAGGCTTTGATAATTATTGCTAAATTGCCATGCATTGAGATTGTACTTTCACCTGTAATTTACTACTTTGCCTATTCCTTTTCATCTTTGCTAATAGAGGGTATTATAAGAGCATTTTTTTTAAGTTCAGGAAACTAAACTCTCTAGCTTCTGATAAATGCATGCTTTTGCTCCACATTTCTAAACTGCTGCCTGAAGCTGCATGGTTAAGCATAACTACAGCCAGAGCTGCAGAGGAGCATGTAACCTGAAGAAACAGATGAGCTAAGCTTTTTCCGTCTCGTCGTGAGATGCTTACTTCATTCTAGTCTCAGTTGAACAAAGTGTTAAATGTCAGTCCTAACAATTAAGTTAGGATTCCCACTTGTACCTGGAAATTACAAATAATTCAATATTCAGTATCCTAAGTCTTCAGAGATTTGTGGGTTGGAAAGTACAGCAATTCATTCTTAAATATTCTTAAATACTTCAAATTAAACTTTTCCTGAATTTACTTCAATTTGTTGTTTCATCAGTATTTAATATTGTTTTCATTTAAAAAGTAGGATATAGTCATTTTCCCCCCTATTAATACCTTGCATTCCTATTACAGGCTATTCGAGTTACTCATGAGACCAGTGCCCATGAAGGTCAGACTGAGGTATTTCACATTTTTCAAAACTCCTCTGCCATGTGTAAATTTAACCACAATGTTATTATATAACATGTAGTTTTAAAAAATTCATTGGACTTCTTTTTTTCCTTTGAAGGAATTGGCTCTTATGTAAAAATTAGTCACGAAGTAGCACAAAAACACATTTTGACAGATTGTTAACAGGCACATTTATATCGGCCATCTCAGTTTGTCTAATCATTTAGATAGATTGCAGATTGTGTGTTGTTTGCTTTGGGTAACCGATGGCCTGTGACTTCCCTATAACAGTGATTTTCAACCTTTTTCATCTCATGGCACATATAAACTAATTACTAAAATTCGGTGCCACCCCAAAATAGATATTTTTGCCAGTCTGACAAAAAAGATAGGTCTAATTTTGGTTCATTCATACCAGACAGCTATTGTGTTGGCTTGTGTCATTTTTTTATTTATAAGTCTAAGGGAGAAGAGATCAGTAGTCCTGACTAAATAGGTATTGCATGTTTTAATAATTCTGTGATTTTGAAAATCACTGCCCTATGAGATTCCTTTGACTTGAAAATATTTTGAGAAAAATACCTGCACTGTAGTACAGGTGGATAACTTGTATAATTTTTAAGAGTCTTTATCACACCCAGCTTCTAGCAAAAAGCTGCATCATTCTCTGCTCAGTAAATCTGTTTGGGGCAATGTGATGATCTTCACCATCTTTATCTGATTAGCTAGTTCTTCTAGGTTGCCTCTCCTCCTCTCACCCCCTTGTTTCATTCTAATGGTTTTCCTCATTCCCTCCTTCCATTTCTTCTTTCCTTCTCTCAACCTCACACTCCCACTCTTGGGGGAAGTTTGTGAAAAGGTATTTTAATCTAAGTGACTATAATTTAATTAAAGTCATTTGGTATATTTATAACACATTTAACACCAGAAGATTATAGATATTTTTCTTTTTCACCCCATGTGTGACTCTAAACCATACTTTTTAATGTACAAAGCTGACATTGCCTTTATGTCTTAACAATATTTTTTAAATACCTGATTTAAAAATGGTGAACTTAAATATTCCTACTACTTAAAATTTTTTAAGGAGACAACAATTTGATACTATAGTATAACAACAATTTTTCATAGATTAAACTGGATAACTGTGAATGTTTATAATAAAACCATTTAGGAATTTAACACTAATTCTTCCTAATTATATCATACCTTCTTGGTTGCTGTCAGGTTCTGCTTTCAGAAATGTGGACTTTTGTGTTTTTGACTGTTTACACACAGACACACATACATACAGACACACATGCACGCAAAGAATGTCTAAGTAGCTCCAGATTAGAAATTAATGAAATACTCTGTTTTTTTTTTAATTGCTTTATATGATCCTGGTATGCTTTGCTTTTTTAATTTTAATTTATAGTGTTAAACCTTAGCTGATTTTACTCAGTGGTTAGCGTTGGCTCGTGGACTGAAGGGTCTCGGGTTCAATTCTGGTCAAGGGCACATACCTCAGTTGCAGGCTCGATCCTGTTAGGGTGCGTGTGGGTGGTAACCAGTGGATGTGTTTATCTCACATTGATGTTTCTCTGTGTCTCCCCCCCTCCCTTCCACTCTCTCTAAAAATCAATGGGAAAAATTATCCTCTCGTGAGGATTAACCAAAGAAAAAAAATTATAAGGTTAAAATTAGTAATGATGATGATGATCAGCATGAGATTTGTAAACTATGAAAACAGTTATTTGTAATAAAGGAACCAAATGCTTTAATACTGTTTACTTTTTAAAAAGTGTCTTTAGGATACTTCTCTTGCCACCTTTTAGTTGCTTTATCCAAATTACAGTTTTTATTGCCTCATGTTAGATAATGTTCTCTTTTTCCGGATCTAAACTGAATGACCAATATTTTAGAATGCATGTATTCTTGTGTGAGTTTATTGTCCTGTGTCTTACACATTTTCTTCCCTGTCTACCATACATTTCCCCACTAATACTAATGTAATTTAAATTTGTTTAACTTCTTGCCTGGAAAATCAGCTGCTTATGTAAATTTTCAGCCTTTAATGTTTTTTCTAATTCTCATTCATTTTTACACAATTGTGCTGGATTATCTTTCTCGAAATATAACCTGAATCATTTGGCAACTGAAATTTTCTAGGGATTCCCTAAATGATTCTCAAGGTGAGGTGGATGGAGAAGTTAGGATATTCTAGGTGGCTTTTTCAAATTGTATTCCCACAAGAATTATCTCTTCTGCGAGTTTCGCATCTCCCATTCTTGGTGTATGTTATAGCCATAAAGTGTATTGGGGCAAAAAAAAAAAAGCATTTGCTAACCATTACCCAAACATATGTAATAATATTCAGCCTCTTTAGCCTCCTTGCCTACCTGTATACAAGGTTTGCTTAACCCTTGTCCTTCCATTTTTTTAAAAATATATTTTATTGATTTTTTACAGAGAGGAAGGGAGAGGGATAGAGTTAGAAACATCGATGAGAGAGAAACATCTATCAGCTGCCTCCTGCACGCCCCCTACTGGGGATGTGCCCGCAACCAAGGTACATGCCCTTGACCGGAATTGAATCTGGGACCCTTTAGTCCGCAGGCCGACGCTCTATCCACTGAGCCAAACCGGTTAGGGCCCTTCCAGTTTTTCAACAGTGTTTTCTTTTTAATTATTTCTCTCTAGCCATCCCTCACTTTATTGTTGCTGTGTTTTACCTCTTGCAATTCCCTCTTCCTAAAAATACTCCTTCTTTCAATCTCTAGTCTTCCTAGGTCTACCTGCCCTTCAAGATTGGGCTTAAATACCACTTTCTTCATGAAGCAATCCATCCCTTCTACAGACTCTTTTATATGACTCCTACTATTTGCATTTTAACTATTTTCATTTATTTAAGATATATATTTATTTATTTTAATCCTCACCCGAGGATATTATTATTGATTTTAGAGAAAGGAATGGGGAGGGAGAGAAGACAGAGAGAAACATCCATGTGAAAGAGAAACATTGATCAATTGCCTCCCGTATGCATCCCGACTAGGGATTGAACCTGCAACCTAGGTTTGGGCCCTGACCAGGAATCAAACCCGCCACTCTTTGGTTGAGGGACAATGTTCCAACCAATTAAATCACCCGGACCGGGAAAGATGTATATTTTTTTTTTCACATTTTAGCAGCTCTGAAATTAGGATGTGTCTTATAGTTGACACCATAATTTATTTGGTGGAATTGCCTTATGTTATCATTTTATAATATAAATTATACATCTTATAACCAGTGGTGCCTTAGTTTTGATGAAATGTGGTGTCATATCACTCTTACTGTGGCTCTTGGGCCTCGGGTTGGTGTTGGATGCTTTTCCCAAAGTATCCAACACCATTCCTTGCACCTAGGCACAACACATGTAGGAATTCACCAGAATTGGCTCAGAACTATCCTTAGTGGTGTAAGAACTACCAAAAGGAAAAAAAAAAGGCTAAATCTTGTTTTTTCGTAAGCCCCTTAGTAAAGAAAACATATTCATTAGCCTTTATTCCTCAATAGGGCACTATTTACATTTTTGGAAAGTTTCAGTTCTTTGTTGTGTGGGGCTGTTTTGTGGAATATAGATTGTTATATTCTAGTCACTGTACAGGGATGGGCAAAAGTAGGGTTACGGTTGTGAGTACGTGAAACACAGAATTTATTCTTGTATTGTATATTTTTCCATATGAACAACTATGAATGTACTTTTGTCCACCCCTTTATTTTAGTGGTTCCAAGTCACTGAGAGAACAAAAACCACATCATACATTTCCAAATCCAGACTTAACCAGCTTAAAACTCCTGCAGCAGGAACTATTTTGATAATCATCTCATTTCTGGTCCATCTAACACAGTAATGGCGAACCTGTGTCAGAGGTGACACCCAAACTCATTTTTTTGGTTGATTTTTCTTTGTTAAATGGCATTTATACATATAAAATAAATATCAAAAATATGTCTTTGTTTTACTATGGTTGCAAATATCAAAAAATTTCTATATGTGACACGGCACCAGAGTTAAGTTAGGGTTTTTCAGAATGCTGGCACGCCGAGCTCAAAAGGTTCGCCATCACTGATCTAACAGGTGCTTAAGTCTTTGAGTATTATCTCCATTGCTTTCTATATGCTAGCACACTGGTTTTGTCATTTTCCATAAATATCTAGGTTTTTCACATTTGTTTTTATTTACTTGGCTGCCATAACAGAACACTGAAGACTCGACTTTAACAACAGACGTTTATTTTCTCCCAGGTCTGGAGGATAGAAGTCAATATTAAGGTGTCATCAGGGTTGGTTTCTGGTGAGGCCGCTCTTTCTGCCTTATAGACAGGTGCCATCTCCACTGTGTGCACACCTGGCCTTTCTTTGTGCATGGGGAGAGAGAAAGAGAGAAAGGTCTCTTTCTTTTTTTATAAGGACACCAGTGCTGTCAGATTAGGGCCCATCCTTCTGCTTTCATTTAACTTTAATTACCTCCTTAAAAGCCCTCTCCAAATACAGTCACACTGGGGGTTAGGGCTTCAACATAGGAATTTTGGGGCAATATAATACAGTCCATAACACCATCTTTGTGCTTTCTTTTTTAAAAAAAACACAAACGTTTTTATTGACTTTAGAGAGAGAGGAAGGGAGAGAGATAGAAACATGGATGAGAGAGACATTGATCAGCTGCCTCCTGCACGCCCCCTACTGGGGATCAAGCCCGCAACCCAGTTATGTGCCCTGACCAGGAATGAAACCGGTAACCTCTTGATTCATGGATCGACTCTCAACCATTGAGCCACGTTGAAATATAGATTATTATATTCTAGGCCCATCTTTGTTTTTTCTAATGACCAAGTTATCTTCTGGATATACCCTTCCTCTTTGCATAGTCAGCACCTTCTCATGCTTAAGTCTTATCTTAAAAGTAATTTTCAAAGAGGCTTTCTTTCATCATTGTTAGGTATGTCCACTATGAATTTATTTGTTGTTATGAAATCCTGTTT